GCTGTGCTCAAGTCTACACGTTACATGTTGATTTTCCTTTGATTGAAATCTCCACGCCAAATGTTGCGTTTTACAGTGGTATTTTGGTCAGGTACAGAGAGGAGAAAATATCCTCGATAAGAAGTAGAAGCCATCGCTGAAACAAGAGTTCTATTCGCCTGACGTTTCGGATTCTCGCTCGAACCCATCATATGAGACAATGACAGAAACGGGTGATTCGTGTACGGGAAGTTGCAGTATTTATAGGATGCAGTCGCTATGTTGCTGCATACCTATGATAATTAACCAGTCTATCCTTCATCGAGAATTGTTGCCCACTGGTGCGCTAATTGTTTGATGGCCGACATGCAAATAGTTATTTGCCGAAACCTCGTCACCCGTGTTGTTTTCTGGCGTGATAACTGTTCGCTCGTTTGGTTCACCGGCCTGCGCGCTCCCCGAGTTTTTAATTACTTTGGCCAGACTCTACCTCAATACCGAATATGAAGTGCAGATGTCGTCGCACTTGTTGATAGACTGAGGTCGCGTGAAGTATGACGCGTGCAACGCGCGGCTCACGTGATTATCCCCACTCCGCGAATTTCGGCCATATTGAACTTGGGTGTGTAGCCGGGTCTCGTCGAATGGGCCGCGACCTGAGAGTTGGCGTCATTTCTCCGCACCACTGCCGCGTGTTCGACGATTCGCGTCCGGAACAGTATTCCAGTTTCCCGACGTAGTTGCTTTGTCCGCAACGACTCTAGATGTTTCTTGCTGTGGTAGTGGGTCTTTTGGTCTCATCACCTGACGCCTTACGGTGACCTCCAGTCTGTGTGCAACTTCAACCCACATTGGCGCTGTCAGATGCTTTTGTCAGAACAAGATTCGAAGAATTGACTAATTGCCCCTTACGAAGTCTCGTTGGAGATACGACGTGTTTGGCGAAATATTATTTTTGTTCTATCCGTAGGAGGCGCGATCAAAATTTAGTCCTGAGTCTGGAACAGGATTCGAATTCTAATCGATATTCGAGCGTTTAAGTTACACTTAATCATAACATCGGATTGGATAGCAAGCGCTTACAGTTACTCTATCAGACTACCGTCAGACTGCGGGTCGCTCCTCAATGGTCGGTAGGCCGTCATGATGCCGATAGCTTGTTACCCAGGCCTTCTAATGGTGAGCCAAATGTCCCAGTTAAGCATGTGAGCTTTCCAATTCTTTTCTGGTACAAACAGGCCATATCTGACATATGTGAGCACATCCGCACCCTGACGTACTACTCTATCATTTCTAAGCAACTGAAAACCGCAGGGAGTTACTTTGTGATCATCTACGTTCACTGGCAGCCACGTTTCGGTTAGAGATATGACATATGTTAGAGTTTAGGTTTACATAAGTTTTAAGCTCATCTTATTTAGATACCGGACTTTGTGCAGTGGCATGCAAAAAATTTAGTTTTTGTTTGTTCTAAGTCGGCTATGCCAGCACCTTTGTCATTTGCTTCAGCTGTTAGTATTCTTTGGATTTTCTCGATTCCGTGCTGGTTTATTCACCGGAATAGACGCACGCCAGGTCAAAGTTATGTCAAAAGACAGGCGGGTTAACTCGGTTATTTTTTGTGGTTCTATAGCAATAAACAGTAAGATAAGTGGAGCACGAAGGAGTTAATAAAACGGGGAATAAATTGAAAGTGGACGTACATTCGAGGTGATTAGACGAGCAGTCAGCGAATGACGCCAAAGTGTGGTGGTCGGTTTAAACGCGAGTGGAGACAAAGAGCAGTAGACAATGGACAAAGAACAGTGAACAAATAATGACGAGAACCGATGAATAGGGGTACAGAGGCAAACGCAGTGTAGTTTGAGTAAAGTCTGGTAACTAACTAACATCTAGTAACAAAGAAAAAAAGAAAACACTAGAAATTGACATCAGAGTTGTTAAATCAGCTGTAATAACATACGCACATGACGAGTCCATATAAACCGGGACGGCTACTCGATTATGCGGTTGTTGTATGTAACCACGTCTTGTCCTCTGCTGCACAGTCACCATCTAAGCTCACTCATTAATGGCTGGCGTTTTAGCCGTTCTGGACGTGTGTAATCCGGCCAAAAACTCCTCGGTGGAAATATTTCAAATGAAAACGTCTTGGGAGGATAAGACTAACCTGTTCTTTGCAACCCAAAACAATATTTAGGGGTCTAGGATGCGGTGATTTGGAGGGCTTAGTAGTGTGATTTCCGAACCTCGAGGCATTCATTACCACAACTTCTTCTTTAGGTTAGAGCATTGAGTTTAGAAGACCTCCAAACGAGTTAAGGTTTACTAGAACGCGCTGCTTGGGTGTTTGTAGATATCCGCTAAAGTTCCTATATTACCGATCGCTGTGCTCAAAGCGGCCTGTCCTTATTACTTGGTAATGGTGCTTCCGAAGTTTCCGGCGAACCATTCATGACAATTTTCTGGCTTTCCTTCACTTTGGGGACCTTCTTTCTGAAAACCGCCTAGGTCAAGGTCAAGGCGCGCAGCTCAATTTCAAAGATAAGTGAAGCTCTGCATTTATCAGGATATTCTTAAGTAATTAATGCCTGTTTTTTACTTGAGTCGCTTTTAAAAGTCGCCTTTCAAAATAAGGCAAAATTTTTTCCCAGTTTTGTTTGACGGTCTGGCAAAATAGTCGTATTTTGTAAAAAATCCCTTGTAGTGAATCCTTCCCCTACTACCGCTGTCTAGTTTTTGTAGTTAAATAACAGTAATACTTGCTATTCAGTGCGCTTTTTCGTACGTTGGAAACGTTTTGATCCTTATTTTGTAACGAAAAACTTTTTTGTCTGTAATGCCCCGCAGAGCACGTGCTAAAAGGCGAAGGCTTGCGGCCTCCCCACCGTCTCTGGGTGCTAAAATCGTGACTGAAGACATAGCAGGTGCCAGCGTATGTTCCTCGCCGTCTGCAGATATGATTAACTCACAAATCCCTTTAGTACATGTAGAACCTCTTGACCCTTCAGTCGTCCAAAAATACGCCTCTGCTAGTCGTAGCAGGCCATCAGCCGGCGACATAATCGATCAGCTGATTTATGGAGACATAAACAGCACTTCTAAAAAAGTGCTTGAACAAGCTTTTAAACTTATTGGGGTAATAAGTTCGGAAACTGAGGAACGAATTAAACGCAAGCATAATTTCGTACTGCGAAACATTCCGAGCCACTTATCTGCTATGGAGGGAGCGCATTTGTTCCTACAAATTTGTGGTTTGCGTTTTAGTGTCGCACAAGCTAAGCGACTTCGCTCGCTTAGCCGTAATGCGCCGATACTAGTTACCCTTTTCTCCATGATAGAAGTCGATTTTATCTTGTCGAGTATGGAGATGACTAGAGACTTCTGCCGTAAATGGCGCTGCTCCGTTTCGCCAGACCTCACACCCCTGCAGCGAAGACTGAATAACCTAAAATCGGCAAAAACCAACACCAAGATAATGACACCTACTGTCAGTCTGAATACCTTCTCTACAACACCACCTGCGGCATCTGCAAGTCACGGCATAGTCAATTCCGTAGGGAGTTCTACTACTTTTAATGCTGACCTCTTTAAACACACCACCACGCCTGGTATAAACACGCCTCTATCGACTCCCTCAGCAACCCCTAGTAAGCCTAAGCATGTGCCTAAGTCAAAGGCAAATCCAATTGCTGCCTCAGCCACTCAGACACCCGATAAATCCAGCACCATTATAAAATGTTTTCCTCCACAATCGGCTAACAGTGCCTCAAATACCCCGACTCAAAACGTACCGTGTTCCCAACTGCCCCCCAGCCCTCATATCGAGGCAGTTAGGCCGAATATACCGATTTTCCCACCGTTAAATAGACCTCTTGTTCCAATGGAAATAATGCGTCCCCCACCCCCTAACCTGTTTCCATCACGGCCGTTTTATCAATGTATTCGTCATGCTAATGTCCATACTGGACCAGTTAACTCATCCGATCTTCAGTTTCGTTCCGGTGGGAATGTGTTGCAGTATCTGCCCCGCGGATTTCCAGCTGAAAATAAGTTAGCTAACAATAGTTATCAGTTTACCTGTCCGTCATTCCCTCCCCCAAGTCCTACCCCTTTTTATCCACGTCAGAATTTTTTGATGTCACAAAATTTTTTGCAGAACCGGATGGTTGCATCCGGACCATTTGCTGCGTGGGCAGCCCAGAACTGGACGATGTAGCCCACCTCCCCCAAAAACTAACAGCCTTTCCCTTCAAACTGTTTGTTTTAAATGCCAGATCCTTGCTTAATAAGATGCCTTTGCTTCAGACTCTGGTGTTCGTCCATTGTCCTGATATTGTTTTAGTAACTGAGACGTGGGCATGAGCCTCCGTTGCTGACTCCGAACTCTCTCTTCCAGGCTATAATTGTATTCGAAATGATTGCCAAGATAGCCACGGTGGGGGCAGCTGCGTCTACGTTAAGAAAACACTTACATTTTTGCCGTTGGACCTCCCGCACTTTTCAGCAGTAGAAGGCAGCTGCTGGCTCCAGGATGCACTAAAAAATAAGTTCTCCTTACTCGTTGGCTGCGTCTATCGTCCTCCGAACGCCAATGATAACTTTGATCGTTTACTCTCACAGGCATTTCATGCTGCGGCCGACTTAAGCTTTAAGTATCAATTGGTTGCGGGTGACTTTAATCTCCCTGAAGTCCGCTGGTCTCCGCCTTCAGGCCCCAGAAGGTTCGATGACTTTCTTGAGG